CTCCTCTCTCCTCTCTCCACTCTCCACTCCTCTCTCTCCTCTCTCCTTACGAGGACCAGACGCAAGTCCAAAATGACGACACCTCTGCGTTTCGCGACCAGGCCCCCCCCATCCCTGCGACTCTTGGCGCTTTTGCGATGCGAGGACTAGACGCAAGTCCAAAAGTGACGACAGCTCTGCGTTTCGCGACCAGGACCCCCCCGATCCCTCTGACATACTGTGACTGTTGGCACTTTTGAGACGCGACGACCAAACACGAGTCCAAAAGTGACGACAGTTCTGCATTTCGCGACCAGGACCCCGGGATGCCTGTGACTGTTGGCACTTTTGTAAGGCGAAATGTAAAAAGTGACGACAGTTCTGCGTTTCCCGACCAGTTTCGACTGCAAAGGGTGCGCGACACTCCGCGACACTCGCGAACGCTTTGCGAACACAAACGCAAGGACTTTTGGTGACCTCCTGGATCCCTGGACCCCAAGCTTGAAACGGGAACCCTTCTGCGGAGCATCCGGGAAAACAAGAGGATCATTGGGGGTGAAGGGATGTAAAAAATGCCTTCACGGCTTGTATGTTGCTTGGTTTGCAAAATTGGTTGACAAGAGAATCCTTCAGCCACGTTCCAAAACCCAGCATGGGTCTTGCTGCATCATTACAAGTAATTCTGGACTGCTGAGATCATCTGCACTTTTCTACGCTGGACACGCTTTCGAGCCCTAAGTGCATTCGAGCCGCAGGACACAAGCCACAGCAAGGACACAGACATCCAATGTTATGAGATGACCTTGGCATCCGGCTCTCATTGATATCAGGATCATTTGGTTGCCGTAGCAGTCGCTGTGGGCTCACGACTCGTGTCTACATGAAACAGCATTGGCAAAGAAAGGTCATCACCAGTGAAGTTGCAACATCAGCAGCGGGAGTGTCAAAAACATTCAAACTCACATTGCTTCAGGCAGAGGTCATCACGTCACGCTGGCACAGGCAACCAGACAACCATCACGAAGCAGATTTTGCGACAAGTCGCCTATCGTGTGCTCACGCGCCCTCATCTTGTCCCTGAGCTGAGGCTCAAACTGACCATTCAAGTTTTCAAGTCTGTAGAGATAACGCAGAGAAGGCGGGGTAGGTGATAATGGTATACCGTATACCAGCCCTTGGAACATGGAACATGCCACGCGCCCTGCACTGGCTCAGTCTGCTGAACTACGGGGTGAGTGATTCCCGCCTAAAGCGTACAGCAATTCCCACCTCCAGTGCGTAACCCGACTGTCCCTGTATACACTGCACTTGAAGACATGTGCTTACTCAGAAAAAAGCTTCATGACACATGGGGTCAAGTATAACTGTATAACCCTCAACCCTAAAGCCTTTTGTTCATGAAAAGGTACTGAGTTACGTTGGAGCTGAGGCACACAAGCTCGTAGATTTTCTGCACATGGATGAAATCATCTCGGGTCCATCGCCAGAGCCACCTCGAGCCAGATTCCCAGTGACAACCAACATCAAACCCTCCATATAGAGGGTTATATGGGAATGATGGGGTAATATTGGGATAATGGAAAAGAAAATGGAAACTACTGTTTAGGGTTTAGGCCCTGAAGGATTCAAGATGTTCCATTTGTAAATTCTGCTGGCGATAGCCAAACGCATATTGGTAATGACAGTAAGGAGGACATACATGACACTCGTGCTGTTTCCTGGAGCTTCCTAGCATAAGAAGCCACAGCAGCAGCAACATCAGCAGTAGAAGGCATCACAATCAACAACCAAGGAACATGACCGCCAGGATCGAATTTAAACATCCCCATAATCCTGCAAAAGAAGATGTGACATGCTCTGAGGCGGCGGGCATGGTGCCCACGTCGTCGAAACTTCTCTGCAGGGTGTGCAGTTGCCAGCCCTGGTCAGAGCTCAGCACTTCCTGATGTTTCGAGCTTGAGAAATTAAGGATTTGGTCTCTGACAACACCTTACGGAAGACTTCCTTTTGAGATGCAGCCTGAATCAGCCGGCCAACTTCCGAAAAGGTTCATTGGAAAGACAAGACCTGGAGCCTTCAAATTAGCTTAAACTGTTTGTTGAGATGACGGCCATAACCACGACCATGCCACCGCAGCCGCGACCCCCGCCGCCACTGCTGCCACCGCCACCACCACCGCCACTGCCTCCGCCACCGCCACCGCCACCACCGCCTCCGCCCGCCACCGCCACCGCCGCCACTGCCGCCGCTGCCGCCGCCACCGCC